GTACAGGCACTTATTTTTCATGTTTTACATAGCTATACCTGCAAAATGGGCCAGCCTGAAGTGACCTAACTGGACTTAGTTTTCTGACTAAAGTTCAACTTTAAAGTGCATCTCTAGCCAAAAAAGTGTTGTTTTTGAATAGTGTTCAGAATGTTTATGAACCCTGACAGGTCCTATGTTACTGTCACAGTGCAGGAAAAAGTAGCAATAATATGCTTACTGAGATTTCCACTAATGAAAAGTACTATTGTGTTACATTAAAGGGTTACTTCACCTGTACCAAAAAACATTCTGCCTATGCAGATGAGGGGCATCTGTTGATTAAAACAAACTTTGCAGCCTTGACCACAAATGAATAATACTCCTGCTTTTAATTTAGGTCATTTACGTACCTCATGAAGCCTGACTTCTAGGATGTTGATAAGAGAAGCCTAGTGTTATTGCTCACCTTTATCAACACAGGAATGAGCTTTTTCTCTGATTCAAACTTCTCACATGTGATCTCTCTCCCCGATGCAGTATGTCGGACCTTAGGGTTTGAGAGCTCACTCCTGTGATGGTGAAGGTGAGAAGTAACACAAGGCTTCTCTTATTAACGTTTATGAGGAACGTCCTAGAACTATTCCATTCAAGCTTCATGAGATATGTTGGTGGACTACACCTATAGCAAGGGCATTATTCAACTTTGGTCAAAGCTGTACAGCTTGCTTTTATCTACAGATGCTCCTCACCTTCACAGGCAGTTTTTGGTAAAGGTGAATGAACCCTTTAAAGTGGAACCAAACACAAAATCTCCAGGGGGTAGAATTTGTCACCAGAACAGGAATGCAAAGTCTTTTTTTTTCTCCCTTGGTTCGTGAGTTTTTGCATTTGTGAGGCATATTATCAGCATGAAAAGAAAAGAGCCAGGTGCTGGGGACAATGCAACTCATCACCAGTTGCTGAAGAGGGTTGGTACAGGACCCCAAGAAATGGTGGCAGCAGGGGGTGAAGTACTGACAAGAACCCAGACCCATCATTGCTGGAGGACAGCACAACAGCTGGTAGGTGTGCCTTTTGCTGGTGTGTCACAGTATACTTGCATATTATGATGAGAGCGCATCTCCACCAATGCAGGTTTAATTCCACTTTAAGAGAAATTTCCTCTCTCTGTGTGATACACACAGTGAAAGGAAATCACCCGAGCAAGGCCAGTGGGTTTATTTCTCTTGGGAAACATTGTATAACAATTCCCAAACAAGTGTGGAATTCTAAGAATGTCTAAGTCTGTAAGAAAAAAAGAGAGTAAAGGGAAAATCATCATCTGATGTTTACTGATTACTAGCTGTTATCACAGATTATGGCAAACAATGCTATTCCAACACTGATACTGTGGACATGACCATTCACTGGCCAGGTTTTGTCTGACACAGGAGTGTCTCTGCGGCACACAATGGAATAAGAAAGTATTTGTATTTAAATTTATAATGAAGTTGCAGTAATTATGTTAATGTTAAAGGCGACTTGAAAAAAAGAGCAGTTGGATATGCCATACAGCAGATGACCAATTAAGTGTAGCTAAATCTGGATTTGAGTTTTTACACTATTATTTTTTTCCAAATGCCATCCTAAAATCATTACCCCTAGTGTGTATTGTATTTCTTTTTTAAAACATGTCTGATTCTAAGTGACTTTAGCCAGTTCACCTCTAACATATACTCTCTATGGACCAGAGCAATTTTTACATTTCTACTATGGGCCTGTTTATTCTGTAATAACTTTGTCATTACTTAAACTGGAACTGTACTGCCTCTGTGTGCCACAAATCAAAAGCGCTATTTAATTTATTTCTAATATTCAAAGCAAACTTGCTCATCCATCCATGTCTCCATGCTTTATTTTGCTGAGAAATCACTTTGAAAAACACCCCCTAGCATTACTGGCCGTGGCCAGCTTGAGTAAGGGCAGATGATTAATTCCTGGAATTCATCTGCCCTTAGATTATGCATGCAGGCAGAAAGGTGTGCTTAGCTGTGAAAACCCCTCCTCCTTTCTTGAAGACTCCCGGGATGTATGATGTCATTTGCCTAGGCATGGAAACTAGGAAGTAACTAAATACATGTAAAAAACTGTTTAAAACAATATACAGTGGGGCAAAAAAGTATTTAGTCAAGCCACCAATTGTGCAAGTTCTCCCACTTAAAAAGATGAGAGAGGCCTGTAATTGGCATCATAGGTAGACCTCAACTATGAGAGACAAAATGAGAAAAAAAATCCAGACAATCACCTTGGCTGATTTGGAAAGAATTTATTTGCAAATTATGGTGGAAAATAAGTATTTGGTCACCTACAAACAAGCAAGATTTCTGGCTCTCACAGACCTGTACCTTCTTCTTTAGTGGGATAATGTTGACAGAGAGTGAAGTTCCAGTTTAAAGCGGAACCAAACCCATTGATTTCCTGCTTCCCAAAACAGCTACATTCAAAGCATGTTGTGAATGATAACTGTCACAATTGATTGTGTTCTCAACTGATCAAACCATCAATCGGCTGGTGTCATAACTGATTATATGTGTAGGACCATGTCAACTGCAGATCAAACAAAGGCTAAAATGGCAGCTTCCTTAGATGTAAAAGTATAGTGGGGTTTAGTTCTGCTTTAAAATAACAAATACATACATCCTTTTTTTTCATTCTTTGGCCGATATTTTGCAAAAATTGTTTTTATGCAATCCACAGTCCAAATTTAACAAACAAAAAGATGTATACTGTATACTGGATACAGTAAGTAAAGAATAACTTAATATATAATTTGCCCTGTTTAAAATGTAAAACAATATAATTCTGGTACAAAGCACAGCAAAGTTATTTACAAATAAAACAAAAGCTTTTTTTAAACTGTGCACTTTTTAATAAAGTGGTTGTAAAGGCAGGATATTTTTACTTTAATGCATTCCCTGCATTAAGGTAAAAAATGTCCCAGCATTTTATTGCTCCCTCATCTCCCTATATACATGCCTATCCTAGTCCTATCTCGATCCAGCGCTGTGCCCATCTGCAGTGGCACTAGTCTCTGTCCTCCTCACAGGACAGAGGCATCAGTGGGAGCTCTTGGCTCCTGCTGCTATCAATTAAATCCTGTGTGAGGAGGGAGCGGGAAGTGGCAAAAAGTACAGAGGAGGAGCGAAGAATGTCGTCATGGGACCCAATAAAAGGTTTAAGGCTGCTCTGTGCATTACCACTGCACACAACAGGTAAGTATAACATATTATTTTTATTAATTAAAAAAAAAAAAATAATTATCTTTTCAAACCGCTTTAAAACAATGCTGAAATAAAATAACCAATAATCAAAAGGGAGGTGTTAATGGGCTTAAATATGAACAAATTTTATTTAAAAATAACTAAATGATTCCTTCCGATCATTAAAAAGGACATCTACTCTTGTCAAGAACATGCAACTGGGCAATGCCACAATGCTATGGTCTATCAGCAACATTATTTCGTTGGCAAGTCATCATAGCACTAATCTATGGAAGTGATAATCTAATGGTGTATCCTTGCATTAATAACCAATGAGGACCATACTGTGAGACTCAGGTATTCTATGTCATACCTCTATTATACAGCAACTCCCAGCTCTCATTTTGACTTCCCAGAATTGCTGGCAAGTATGAGGAGGTAGCAAAAACAGGGCAGGAGGTCACGAAGTACTACACAAGCCCTGTGTACTTCAATGATGTGGATGTTGGATGTGGTATATACACCCAAAAAACAACTATATTAGGTAACAGCACATGCACTAGGATAACAGTTTCTGAAGACATTTCTTACCAAATCTAATCCTCTGAATGTTCATACTGTATAAAACATGTGCTTGTTCACACAATAAGCATCCAATTCCACTATATAAGAAAATGGATAACTGGATTGTAATGTGGAGCTAAGTTTGCAATGTAATATTTCAGGGCTTGGTAGTCTAGTATTATCTGCAGTGTCCAGAGTCACTGAATGCAGCTTCAATGACAATCCAAGACTAAATGCTTTTAAGTTCACATTCCACAAACAGTGCAATGAACTGAAAATGTAAATCCAATCCATGTTCCTTTTCAGCTTGTTCTTTAAATCAGTAATCACAGTTCATCAGACAGAAGCCACAATGACAGTTCCCAACAGCAGGTGTATGGATGTTGAAATGGAAAACAACAATTTGTGAACCCCATATGAAAATATTGGAAATGTTGCTATATATGTTTTATGTATAAATAGATTTTTTGATTTGATAAAATTTAACAAAAAAATGGCTTTTTACAATTTACTATGTGCCCTATAAAGTCCCTTGCTATGAATTTCTTGGGAGCTGTACATGTACTATGGATGATTTGAGCATATAGGACACAGAACCTAATTCATGACTAGTTGTTAATAAATTTGAGACATGGTAAAACATGGACTACATGTATAGCCAGACACATAAAGGGGTTATATAATGAGGAAGCAATACAGTAAATATTACTCTGTACTATAACATTTAGCATTCTAAAACCAGAATGAAGAAGACTGTGGGGACCTACAAAGCAATATTAAAGCTGAACTCTGGGAAAACTTAAGTCCCCCCTTGAAGCGGGGGCTGCCCCCACTGCAGCAGTTAATTCTTCGTTTATTCTAGGAGACGGGACGGTTACAGCACTGTCCCTCAGCATCCTCATGTCCAATGCAGGGCTATGGTGCCTGACATCAGGGAACCTTACACCACCAGAATGCAGGGGAGAAAAGGTTGCAGGGACCAGTCTAGCAATGCAGAGGAGCCTGCAGAAGATAAGGAAAGTAAAACTGCTTAGACATAAACAAGCAGTTAACCATTGCAGTGAGGGAGCAGCCCCACTGCAAGTAAGGATTTTTAGTTTTCATGGAGTTCAGCTTTACAATTAAGCGACATAAAACCATACCGATCCAAATAAATATACCAGGATGGCCACAGAGTTCTGACTTTTGAAACAGAAGAGAACTAGGATGTATTACCTTCTCAGCTTTCTTGTCCGAAATGTCCTGTTTCTCCAATACAGCTATGCTTTCCTTTAGGTTCTTCACTATGTCTGCAGGAGACTTGTGGGACTTCCCAAAGGGGAATGGCATGTTTGCTAGTGCTAGCGTAACACTGATTTATAGTACACCTGAAAAAGAAAAAAAAAAATACAAAAAGAATCAACAACAGCTGCACTGGATTCCAGTTCATTCCAATAACATTTTACCGCTCTACTAAGCACTTGAAACAATTCTATAACTTTAGGATAGCAATATTGTTCAGGCAAAAGTCCTGTGCTCACCAACAAATATGCCACTTGTAAAGACAGAAACAAGGAGAGGAATCTGGGGTCTGGAACCCAAATGATTGCAAAGAACAGCAAAAAATGGAACAGTATTTAGTGGCTGAAAAACTGGCAGCTGTATTTCATGACAAGGCTAAGAAATTTAGAAAGGTTTGGTCCCCTTGGATCACTCACTATTTCCCTGGTGACTGATTTATTCTCTATAGACAAGTTGTGGTCTGACTGGTCTCACTCCTCTCCTCTTACCACCAACCCTGCCCTATCCCCCCCCAATCCCTTTTTCTAAGAGGTCCACATTGCATACTTTACGAATATTTCTGGGCTGAAAGAAATCCCCATGAGAGTCCCCCCTTACATCATGGTTCCCTTCAAAGTCCTCCCTTACATCAGAGGTCCCATCAAAGTCCACCTTATATCAGTTACCATCAGAGTTCCCTCTGTGGCATTGTCCCCCTCTCTAAAAGACTGCAAAAAAGTACTTGTAGAGAAAAAAAAAAAAAAAAGTGTTAGGACATTATTTCTCCCATAGCGCCTAAGTAAGGAGGATGTTATCCTACTTCTGGTACTGCATGTCTTGGAGACAAACATGCTTGTAAACACCCAGATGTGCATGGACAAACAGGATAAAACAGAGTTGATTCTACAGGCTACAAGAAATAAAATGTCAAATGCCTGTATAATCACTTAGGCTCCATTCATACTTGTGAGACTTCAAAATTGTGTGATTTTCATTGCGACTTTACAGTACGACTTGATGCGACTTTGACCAAGGATGATTGTTTGTGCTGTACAAACATTGCACACAAGTCGCATGTATAATATAAAGGTGCAACTTTTATACGACTTTAGAAGGTTTACATTGAAGTCTATAGCCCTCAAGTTGCATCAAAGTCGGACCAAAGTAGTGCAGAAAGTTTGCTGAGACTTCAAGTTGCACAGATTTAAATGGTACCCATTGGGAAACATGGGGTGCGACTTATGTGACTTTGGACCCCAAAGTCACATGACAAGTCGCACAACTGTGAATGGGCTCTTAAAAGACCCAGCCTTTTCTAACACTTTTTGTTTACATTTAAAAAATTTGTATTTTTTGCTGGAAAATTACTTAAAACCCGCAAACATATATTTTGTTTAGCAAAGGCCCTAAAGAATAAAATGGTGGGTTTTGCCGTTTTGGTATGTCACACGGTATTTGCACAGCAGTTTTTCAAACTTGAGTTTTTTGGGGAAAAATACACTCCAGAATTTTAATGCATACAACGCAATAACCAATTTTTTGGTAAAATATGATTCTACACAAAGTAAATCGATACCAAACATGTCACACTTCAAAATTGTGCATGCTTGTGGAATGGCGCCAAACTACTAGGAGACCCTTTAAAAGCCTTTACAGGTTACCAGTTTAGAGTTAGAGAGGAAGTCAGGTACTAGAATTATTGCTCTTGCTCTGACGTTTGTGGAATTATCTCACGTGTGGTGCAATCACCGTTTACTTATGTGTGCTGGACCAATACATGCGAGCATGGAGGTGCTTTTAAAAAAAAACTTTTTTACATTTCATCCCGGAATACCATTTGAAGCCCGTAGCATACATATGCTAGTGGGTCTTCAAGTGGATAAGAAACATTTTTTATGCCCAGTGTGCATGAAGTCTAAAATTACATAGAAGCTTTAGAAAGTTAAAGCAACTTCGAAAGTAATTTTCAGTTAATTTAAATCAATGGCTTTCATTAAAAGAATACTTGGTGATCCTGCCATGAAGTTCCATGCTCACTGACAATGTTCAGTCCCTGTTTCCCAATAGTGCACTTGCATTGTCACCCTGTCATCATACGCACTACCAATGGAAAGTGCAAGCAGCTGTGCTGATGCTCATTTTACAGGAATGTTCCACTATTGTTACAATCAGGAAACCAGTCCTGAAAAACGACATGCTGGATTCCATGCATGTATACTGGATGTGGCTGCACAGTGGCCGCAGGGCTAATATGCAAGAAAAGATGACAAAAGGTGAAAATAATACATAAAAAAATAATTGCAGCAGTTGCTGGTACACAGTGCTTTAACAAACAAAATGCCATTCCATGCTGTACAATCATACTATAAGTAGACCCCCCCCAAAAAAAAAAAACCTCTAAAGACCCATGCTGTGTAATGCTCTGCATGCTGAGCTATAAATATCCAAAAGGCATGTAAAATAACTGATTTCTGTGTGCACTTACATTTACTTTTATATTCTCTTTTGGGTATTCAGAGGCACTGGTGACATAGCCAGGGCCTCTTACTTGCCCTCAGGAAAGGTTACGTCACCAGTGCCTTCCAGGGAAATCTTTAAAGTCAAGAAATCTTGCAAGATCTCAGGAAAAAAAAATTTTTTTCAATGGATGCAAGGTCAAGATCAGGTGCAGGCATCATCGGTAGGCCGGCAGAGAGTAAGGAAGAAGCCAGCCATTGTTGACTTTTTTTTTAATGGCAGTGCAAGTTTCCAAACCATGGTGGGGACAGATCAAGGTGACTTCAGAGAAAAGACAAGAAAGAGGTAAATATAAGGGCCTATCCTATTGGACATACTGTACTTTTATATCAACTGATTTTTTTCAGTAGGCTCTAACACTGAATAGTACTCCAAAGGAGATTGTACAAGCAGACTGTAACGTGTCACCTGCTTCAGCTTAACCAACAAGTGTGTAGTGCACTATACAGTCATTGGGAAATCTGCAGGGAAGCATAGGATTACACTGCAATGTGTGAAGCCAGCTTTACAGCCTGGGCAATTTATAGATCTCTAAAATCCTGCGCACATTTCAGCATTATATGACCAGCTGTTTGCAGGCTTGCAGTAGAAATTACCTTTGCACTATTTACCTGTCTAGGCCTTGCATCAGGAACACACAGGACATGAAAAAGGTCACTAAATAAATACAATGTTTACCTATTACCCTCAACCACACCCGCTGCTCAAAGGTCAGGCATTAAAGTACCCTCTGGAAATACACAATTTGCTTTCTTTCCACTACTAAGTTTTATCTAGGTACCCTCCCTACTTAAACAGATTTTTCAGTCTTTTCAAACAGTTTTGATGGCCAGTCACCCTTTTTTGTGCAGCCTGTCCTTCGAACTAACTACGTAATATGGTTTCTTTATCCTTCTGTTATAGTATATCTGTAAAAAAATTAATTTAAAAAAAAAAAAAAAAAAAAAAAAAAACACAAAACATTTAGGTCACAAGGTTGTTAGCACTCAAGAAAACCACTTGATAACTACCCTCACAAATGCCATGCAAGCTCCCTGATTCAAGTACACAAATACTGACCAGAAGACGTTTCTACCCCAGCCCCAAACTTAAGATGGGGGTGAAGAAGGGTGGGGAACACTTCTTTTCTTAATACTAGAAAACACAACTTAGTGGGTGAGATTTTCAGGGCTTCTGAAAGCAGTACCTAAACTTATAAGTGGAAGCTGGAAATCAATGAAGTAGAACACTACTCCAGTGATCTCCACTTTTACCTAGTCCCATGCTGAAAAGCCGGCCAGGCGCATTGTGAATACAGGAGGATGGGCAACATTCACAGAATGCTGTCCAGGGGCATGGGCCAGTTACAGTGCCTTGAAAAAAATATTCATACCCCTTGAAATTTTCCACATTTTGTCATGTTACAACCAAAAACGTAAATGTATTTTATTGGGATTTTATGTGATAGACCAACACAAAGTGGCACATAATTGGGAAGTGGAAGGAAAATGATAAACAGTTTTCAAATGTTTTTACAAATAAATATGTGAAACGTGTGGAGTGCATTTGTATTCAGCCCCCCTGAGTCAATACTTTGTAGAACCACCTTTCAGTGCAATTACAGCTACAAGTCTTTTTGGGGATGTCTCTACCAGCTTTGCTGGTGACATTTTTGCCCATTCATCTCTGCAAACTAGCTCAAGCTGTCAGATTGGATGGAGAGTGTCTGTGAACAGCAATTTTCAAGTCTTCCCACAGATTTTCAATTGGATTTAGATTTGGACTTTGGGCCATTCTAACACATGAATATGCTTTGATCTAAACCATTCCATTGTAGCTCTAGCTCCATCCATATTCCCATCAACTCTGACCAGCTTCCCTGTTCCTGGTGAAGAAAAGCATCCCCGCAATATGATGCTACCACAACCATGTTTCACAGTGGGGATGGTGTGTTGAGGGTGATGTGCAGTTTTAGTTTTCCGCAAACACATAGCGATTTGCTTTTAGGCCAAAAAGTTCAATTTTGGTCTCATCTGACCAGAGCACCTTCTTCCTCATGTTTGCTGTGTTCCCCACATGGCTTCTCACAAAGTGCGAACGGGACTTCTTATGGCTTTCTTCTTGCCACTCTTCTATAAAGGCCAGATTTGTGGCGTGCACGACTAATAGTTGTCCTGTGGACAGATTCTCACACCTGAGCTGTGGATCTCTGCAGCTCCTCCAGAATTACCATGGGCCTCTTGGCTGCATCTCTGATTAATGTTCTCCTTGCCTGACTTGTCCGTTTAGGTGGATGGCCGTGTCTTGGTAGGTTTGCAATTATGCTATACTCTTTCTATTGTCGTATAATGAATTGAACAGTGCTCCATGAGATGTCCTGGACATCTGCTTAAAATTAATATGAGAATAATACAATTCTATATTATTTGAAAAGGAAGGTCGTACAGTGCAGGTATCATCCACAAGAAACTTTATTGGAGACCAACGTTCTGTCTGAGCAGTCTCCAATAACGTTTTTTGGGGTTGATACCAGTGGTGTATGACCCTCCTATTCAAACTTGCAACAAGTGCTACAGGAGTGCGAGTGGGTTCTATGCCGGGCTACACCTGCCCTTCACAGCTTAATGTTGGCCATACATGGGTCGAAAATCAACCAATTTTTTTGTCTGAAAATCGGACCTAAGAATAATCGACTGATTTTCACTCTGTTAGTGGGTCAATGGCAACGGCCGATTTTCGTGGTTCCTCCCTTTTTTGGTGATCAGGCATGTTGGGAAATTTGTGAAAAATGACAGATTTTCGACTAAATGATGATCAAATCGTATGATCGTTTTTCCAAAAAGAATATGCGCATGAGCCGTGACCTGGAAGGAACAAAAGTTTCGCCTGTTATATGGGCTGAACTTTATGACCAGGTTGGCCAATTTTCTAAATCACTGATGGCACCATCAGATTACCGAGCGAACAATGTTTCCGATTTTCGGACAAAAAATCTTTGGAATTCGACCCATGTATGGCCTGCATTAGTCTTAAGTTATTACTAAAACCAGTAAATAATTGAATGCAGAGGCAATGATTTAATATGATAAGGAGTAGATACATTTATATAGTCTTGCAGATATTACTGGCCCTTTGAGGGCAACCAGAATGCTGGTGTGGCTTGCAATTAAATTTGAGTTTGACACCCCCATCACATGCATGCACAGCCCATTTACCATAAGCCCACACTTATCTAAATTCTAATAAAGGGAAAGGCCATACCTCAAAACAACAGTAACTATTCTAATAACACATTTGTCCTAAAAGAAAACCTGTACTAGAGATACAAACTACTACAAGGGTATAACAGAGGGCATCGTAGTATTGCTTTGCAATGCGTAGTATTGCTTTGCATACCCTAAATTGGTCATTCCCCCTTCCCAATGAAGCACAGCAGGGGCTCCTGAAAAACTTCTGCAAATCAAGCTTTTCTGAAAGTAACCACTGGATAGGGTTAGGCAGATTCTGACATGCCTACACGCAGACCTGTGGGAGGGGGACTGGACGTAGAAGGTAGGATACCAAGAAACTAACGGTACGTACTCCAAGTTGCCTTCTGATAAATACTTGCCTTAAAGTGATTCTAAAGGTTGAAAAAAAAAAAAAAAAAAAAAAAAACACAACAGGCATTTTAAACGTACCTGCTCTGTGCAATGGTTTTGCACAGAGCAGCCCAGATCCCCCTCTTTTTTTGGGTCCTCTGCCGACACTCCCGTGCCCTGTTGAGAGCCCCCAATAGTGAGCCCCTGTTGTGTGAGCCAATAAGGAGAGAGAGCCCTGGCTCTCATGCACATCACTTGATCGACAAAAGTATATTGGGGGGGGGGGGGGGCTGTACATTGAATGTTTTTTACCTTAATGCACAGAATGCATTGTAAATAGTTTATTTGGGCCAAACTATTTCCAGAACAGAACTATAAAAATACAAAAAATGGTGTAGCGCTCTTAATACATAAATAATAATATAACAAATAGAGAACCAATCCCCAAAGGGATGACTAAGTGAATAAACAGTGAATGGATAAATGGTCTTAAACCTCTAAAAATGCAAACAAAAATGGTGTAACACTCTTAATACATAAGTAATAATATATCAAATAGTGAACCAATCCCCAATGGGATAAATAAGTAAATAAATAGTGAATGGATAAATGGTCTTAAACTGACCTACTGTGATCCAATACCACATCAAACAGTGCTGGATAACCAGATCACTACAGTGAATACCTCAATGTAATATTTGAATAAAAGTGAGCCACACACGTGATCCCAGCACTGGGGGACAAGTAATAGTGATAAAAGTGCTCAGTGTTGTGCAAAACACTCAAAACCACATATATACAGTCAGGTCCATAAATATTGGGACATCGACACAATTCTAACATTTTTGGCTCTATACACCACCACAATGGATTTGAAATGAAACGAGCAAGATGTACTTTAACTGCAGACTGTCAGCTTTAATTTGAGGGTATTTACATCCAAATCAGGTAAACGGTGTAGGAATTACAACAGTTTGCATATGTGCATCCCACTTGTTAAGGGACCAAAAGTAATGGGACAGAATAATAATCATGAATCAAACTTTCACTTTTTAATACTTGGTTGAAAATCCTTTGCAGTCAATTACAGCCTGAAGTCTGGAATGCATAGACATCACCAGACGTTGGGTTTCATCCCTGGTGATGCTCTGCCAGGCCTCTACTGCAACTGTCTTCAGTTCCTGCTTGTTCTTGGGGCATTTTCCCTTCAGTTTTGTCTTCAGCAAGTTAAAATGCATGCTCAATCGGATTCAGGTCAGGTGATTGACTTGGCCATTGCATAACATTCCACTTCTTTCCCTTAAAAAACTGTTTGGTTGCTTTTGCAGTATGCTTTGGGTCATTGTCCATCTGCACTGTGAAGCGGCATCCAATGAGTTTGTGAAGCATTTGGCTGAATATGAGCAGATAATATTGCCCGAAACACTTCAGAATTCATCCTGCTGCTTTTGTCAGCAGTCACATCATCAATAAATACAAGAGAAGCAGTTCCATTGGCAGCCATACATGCCCCCACGCCATGACACTACCACCACCATGCTTCACTGATGAGGTGGTATGCTTAGGATCATGAGCAGTTCCTTTCCTTCTCCATACTCTTCCCAATATTTATGGACCTGACTGTATGTGTAATAATAATAGTGACAAAATGATGATAAATAAAACCCCTAAAAAATAATAATATAGATGTTATTGCACAAAAACAATAAATAACAATAATTCCCGGGGGGAAATATGAACAAAAAACCAGTGTCCACAATAATGCAAAATAACATGCAGGTGATCTTGTGCGTTGTTGCCTCCGGTGATAAATCCACACATGGCTAAAATGGCTCCTCACCTCCTTACCGTGACCCTAAAAAGGGCCTACAAGCATTTTGGGTCACTCCTGGACCCTCCAAGACCGGATTCCTTCTAATGATACTTTCCAACCAATTTCACATCAGGAAAAAAAACATGAGAACCTTCCAGGACAAGATCAGCCCGATGTCCCCTCTATATGGTCCTAATTGATAAGATCAGCTCCCACAGGATCCACATAAAGAGAGAACCCCAATAGTGTGAAACCTTTTTAATTATGCAGAGCAAATATACATATCCAGTGCACTCACATTTGTTTCCATCTTTCAAACAGCATTAGAACCTCATGTATGGGTGTACTTGCATGGGTTCTGTGAAAGTACAAAGATGGCGTCCACGCTGGAAGTTGCGTCACCATGTCACCTACGCATTGCGTCACGGCACACGTGACTTCATCAGGGTTTTATATATCATTATTTTGCAACTATTATTATTACACATATATATGTGGTTTTGAGTGTTTGTACAACACTTAGCACTTTTATCACTATTACTTGTCCCCCAGTGCTGGGATCACGTGTGTGGCTCACTTTTGAAATATTATGAGTTATTCACTGTAGTGATCTGGTTATCCAGCACTGTTTGCTGTGGTACTGGATCACAGTGGATCAGTTTAAGACCATTTATCCATTCACTATTTATTCACTTATTTATCCCATTGGGGATTGGTTCACTATTTGATATATTATTACTTATGTATTAAGAGTGCTACACCATTTTTGTTTGTATTTTTAGAGGTTTAAGACCATTTATTCATCCCATTGGGATTGGTTCACTATTTGTTATATTATTTACGTATTAAGAGCGCTACACCATTTTTTGTATTTTTAGCGTTTTTTTCGCTTTTAGGTAATAAGGTGCAGGTGTTACCAGCCCATATTAGATACTTATTAGGTTTCCGAGCGCAGGAGGTATCATTATTTGTCAGAACAGAACTATGCAGCGGCTGTGTGTGCTGTAATGGACATTGCCTACAAACACTGAGTGGAGCTGTGTTCTGACAGCAGTACAGGGGACTTCCCAACTGCTGCTGGAATTAAAGAGAGTCGGGCTGAGTGTTTTTCTGCCATTCAGGAGAAGCTTTGTATTTTTTATCAACAAGGCTTCCCCTGATTACCCGAGATGGATCCGTGGGCAGATGGCGTCGCAATTTCCACCTTTTTTCCCAGGAAAAAGTAAGAAAAAGAATACTTGAATATTTGCAAATAAAAGATGAAAAACCAAGGTACATTAACACTCTTGGGAGTTAGTATATGGTGAAGTAATGGATAGCACAGATCTAGGAAGGAACCCATACTTGAATCGGTTCGTGTAATGAACAAGTAAAACTGCATTTCCATACACTTCAGCCAATAACAAAGTTCTCTATAGGGCTCAGTGACATACACCTTTGGCCACTCTTCTAAAAACCAGCTCTCCTTACACCAAGGGTGCTTCACCTTTTGAAGAGCAGGGGCACTTAGTTGATTTGTTCAACGGGCCACAATGAACTATGGGGTTTTACTACTCCCTCAAATGGCAAATGTAAATAAGCGTGTCCACCATTCCCTATACAGCTGCTTCCACACTAATGCGCTGCGGTTTACCTGCACCGTGAGTGCAGCACAGTGCACCTGCGGCTTTTCTGCTCTTTGCCATAGACGTCTATTACACTGTGCACATGCGGTGCACTTTCTGAAGTGCATCAAAACACTTGCATCCATGAGTTTTGGTGCGCTTTTAGAAGGTGCACCTAACCCGCAGAATAGAAGTCTATGGCTCAGTGCAGCTAATCCAAGGAAAGCTGCAGGTACGCTGAGCCGCACCTATGGATCAATGTGAAAGCAGCCTTAAAGTTGTTAAACAATGCATGCACTGGGCATAATAGCTTCTCAATGGGCATATTAGCACCTATCAGTATTAATACCCTGATCTTTTTTTCTTGCACTAGTTGCTGGCATTGTTCTCCAGGCTACTAGAAAGGATTAGAGGCAGAGTACACTTGGTATTACTCCGCTTGGGACAGAAGCCAGCACTACACAGAAATCATTGGCTTATGCGGCTCCCTGCTCACTCGGTTGCTGGCGCCGGCTCACTGCACTGTGATGCTCTGGGATGGTGGGTCGGCAAGCCCAAATCACAGTCACTGGATTGCCGACCCCAGGCATGTGCTTCCTTGGTTTGAGGTCAGGGACCGTACATTGAACACCCCTGCCTTACACTGATGAAAGGATCAGATTTTCTCTACACTACTGGACAACCTTTAGTCATTCCAAGGTTTTTGTACAGATAATTCAGACTCCTACCCACTTCTGCACTAAAGAAAGTTTGCATATTTTACAGCAAAGTACAGCATATCTGGACAAAAATGAGCTCTTAATTCAAAAAGTGCCTACAGATAAAAGGCGATATATTTGAATGACACAAATTACATGACACATTCATTCTGAGTCAAAATGATCAAAAATGCAGATATGACACAAGGGAAAGTACATACGTCCTTACATTTACCGCCACTTCCAATCCATGAAAACAGAATCTGGTGTCACAGATTAGGTGCCAATGATTAGATATTAGGGAGTCTGCAGGGTTAATTGGGACTGGTAGGCTGCAAAGATGGTTTTAAGGAATACTTTATCCCCAGTATCTCTAAGCAATGAGAAAGAAAAACTGAATTTTAGGTATAGATTTTATTGCGTAGTTACATTGGTCCTGCGTGGTCCAATGTAAGTATACATATGCCATGCCTGTGACCGCTATAGAAGTAAAGAAACACTGTAATAGTCACCATTATCACAGTCATCCACTCATCACTGCTGTCTTTTTTTGTCCAGTGCGGAGCATCTACCCTGCTACATAGTAGCCACAGGAGATCATTTGCTCAGCATGGCATCCATTCACAGAATGTCCAGCATTTTTCTCAATGAAGGAAAGGTGGTCTCTGAATGGACAAGGTGGTGAGGTGGAGCAGTGACATCACAATCTCTATCTCATCCAGTCAAGGAACGCCTTGCTTTTATTGAGTAAAATGCAAGGTGTTCCTTGAATAGCAGCAAGGCAGCCACTTGGCACAAGGCCTGGAAGACAGGATGTACACATCCAACAGGCGGTGTAGCTCAATGCAATGAGATGCATCCCCCCCCCCCCCCCCCCTCCAATAGGCTAGGTTTACACCAAAGTATTGAACTGGGTGTGCACTTTAGAAAATGGAACATGGTGCAATCAAACATT